CATGAGATTAATAATTTGTTTATTTCATTGACAATTCTAATTGAAACTATGTACGAGTCCCACAAAAAATTTTTGAAATTGATTTATAATTTCCATACATTTCTCTTGTTACATCCCTGGTTAAAGATGAGCCATTGGGAGCTGTTAATTTAGAATTGTAAAAGTATAATCTAAGCTTTGTATTTATGCGTTTTATTTTTATGTGAATATAAATGAATCATTGCTAAAATAATGCAAATCATATTCAAATAGATAATAATATTTTACTATATATGGGATTTATCATTTGATTGAATCAAACCATTTTTTTTTGTAAACATATAATCTGGGTAATTTGTATGCGTATCCTAATACAGCTATGGTTGTTATCATAGCTGACATCAGACCTTTTACTCAGACTACCTGCTTACACTGGTGAATATGAGATCGTTGGTGAAGAGAACGATTATTATCGCCATATAAGTGATGCAGATCACAGCAATGCAGACACATTCACCTGTGAGAATAGGCTCAATACAAATGTCAGTTGGTCAGCTGATCCATTTGCAGTTGTTAGTTTTAACTAATTGTTATTTTGATATAAATATCTATCATTATAATAAACTCTGTATTTTGTCAACAACGCTTTTCAGTAAAGTTAAAAATCAACAACAAATACTAGGACATATATTTAAAGAGACAAACACACACGTACAATATACGGATAATATTGATGTGATATGTTAACGTTCTGTTCTTCTATTAAATCAACTATGCTTTTAGTATGACAGGTAACACACATGTCACTGAACATAGCACACATTTATATACATCACCTAATTGATATAGTCAGCCCAATACATCAGTTATACTTTCCTGTTAACATGTGATTGTGTTTACACCATGATTGTCATCGAATGAGAGATAAATACAAAATAATTGAAGACAGAAATAAGAAATAAATGAAGACAGAAACATACATCACTTGAATAACAAGTGTGGCGTATTTTAACTTCAATGACAAATTATCCATTGGCGTCATTAACCCGTCTGTTCTAGAGCTGCGCAGCTACTTACAAGACTGTGGGTGATTGGCTACGTAACCCAGGCACCGAATAGTCAGACTAATTAGTAAGAAACTTGTTTGTCGACTGATATTTTCAACGTATTAAAATCTAACTTGTATATATGCTTCGACTCAGCTTACTCTATATGGTGGTTAAAGTAGTTTTTATGCAATCGCTTTTTAGCAATTTCTCCGTTTCATTGGCCAATACTGAAATCGATTTTTTGTTTGTTTTGAACATGGCCCCATTTACGATACAATACACGTACAGAACATAATGACCCGACAGAAATCAAATGGTCCATTCACTACATATTAACATAGTGGAGGCTTTAATGAGATGTGTTTTACTCTGCCCTAACTTATTGCTTGAAATATCGCCACCAACGACTATGTCCTTTCAGGTTTTAGATTTGGGTAACATTTGTCAAGGAATAGACTGGCTATGGTTTCAACCAGAAGATCGGAACGAAGAGTCTTTTTGTACTGCTGATGTTTCAAATGTAAATTTATTGAACGGATGTATGGAATTCATGGGTTCTTTGAAGTGATCGAGCTGGTCAGTACTGTAAGGCCAGAGAAAGAGGCAATCGTCAATAGAACGGTACCAGATATTGGGTTTAATAAGGATTGTATTAGGCATACTGTCTTCAATACTAGCCATGAAGATATTTGCGTAGCTTGGAGCCATACGAGTGCCCATTGCTGTGCCCTTAATTTGTAAATACTATTTGCCATTGAAGTTAAGTATGTTGTTATTTAGTACAAATCTGATGACGTCACATATTAATTGAGATGGTGGTTGTTTGTTTGTTGGTTCTGGTTCCAATGCTTGAAAGCAAAATTTAATACCATCTTCATGTGGGATGTTGCTATATATGCTAGCGACATCAGCTGTACATAATAAACAGTTCGGTGGTATGCCCTGTAGGTCAATTATAATTCATGACCACAAACAAATTGCATTCTGTCATTCCTATTATCAAAAAGACTTTTTCACCCTGAATCTGTTACTAGTCAAACTCACACCAAATAAAATAGCTCTAATCAAGTAGCTCTAAATCTAGTTGGTATACGTAGCCTATTATCATCATTCTGATTTATAACATATAGCATTTTTGCATGAAATTATTTTCAACACAAAAATAAATGTCTTTACAAAACTGAACAATGCAAAGTATCCATAACAAAGACACAGTTGTCGATTGCCTAGTGTTTTGTCAAACTTCTCACAATGCATTGCAAAAATATGAAATGTTTGCCCAAAAATATTATTTACTATTTTCGTAGTATTAATCGCTCATTTATACATGTTATATTTTCAAAGCTATACAAGTGTTTACATAAGTATTTTTTTTAAATTACAATGTCACTGATAATACTTATTTTGGTTACTAAAATACTAATATATTGGAATAATTTATCCCTTGGAATTATTAGCCACGTCAAGCAAATGATAATACGGTGAATAATTATACTGTGCTGCGTCATTGTTCGGGAAACCATTTTTAGTGTATGTTGTAATCCATTATACTTATAGTTAGTGACCTATTATACTGGTAGTATGTCTTATTATATTACTTAAGTTTATATATAAATCAAAATGATATATGAATTCACAATTATTATTTTTATTATAAATTATTTTAAATAAAATAAAATATTTTGATTTGAAGAAATAAATTTACGCAGGTAAAACTAGAAAATCAGGAATCACGTATTTATGCAGTTTTACGATAAGACATAATACTAAATTGGTTCATCTATGTCTACTGAAATGAGTTATTTCTGACCGCATCTTTGAACATCGCATCCAAATAGAGGAAGCCGCTTTCTGGCAATTTCAGAAACACATAGTCAATTGTTATAACTATGTATACTGTTGATCTAACCAATTATTAACACTAATTGCGTGAGATTGAATTACAAATCATGTGCCCTTGTTAGTTCCCACTCTCAGATTAAGACTTGTTAATCGATTATTTGTATTAGTTTTGTGATATATCAGAGAAAATGTACTTTTAAATGCTGTTTCGTCATCAGACAGTCGACCTAATTGTGCCGTTGAACCCAGTACTACCATAATCTCCGGAAACAACGTCACACTGTGTTGCATCATGGATTTTGATGACAGTGCACCTGGTGTTTTAGTATGGTATCATGAGAGTGTAGAAGTTAAGAGAAAAACAGGAAGGGAAAATACGTGGACGTCATTACATTTTAAAGACAACAATGACGATGTGTTTGATTGTCAACTGGAACATTATACTCTACCTCGCCCAAAGTGGTCACAAGTATCATGTGAAGACAAGATAGTCATGGATGTTCAGTGTAAACTAATTTTATACATATATTAACAACATTTATTCAAAACAACACACTATTTTCACAATACTTTGATGTATATTATTCACAGTTGTATATTAACGTACAATGTGAGCAAAGTTCATTTGTATTATATAATTAATATTCAACACTTTGAAATCTTATTTATATCGAGTTAGGTTACATAATACACAGGAACACAAATATATGTCCATGCATTTTGCTGACCCATATAAAGGAATTGAAACTAACATTGTGTTCAAAGTTTGGTTGATTAATTCAATACCAGTAAACATATTTTCAAGTTGAGACAACAGCATAATCGGTAATTATCTTTATTTACGAATCACAACCATTCGAACAATTACGAAATAATTAGGATAATTACAACACATATGAATATCATTAACCACATGACATTCACGACTTGTTCTAATTGTTTTAGGTCAACATAATGGTATGTGTTTTTTTTTAGATTCTCCAACTGTCAATATACAAAACCCAACTGATGTAACATTAATTGAGGGCGATGCATATATAGCTGTATGTTTGATAGATTCAAACCCGGCGGTAGAAGGAATATGGATACATCCAGATGGTTCATTCACTCTAGGGTCATCACTGGAGATCAACTCCATATCAAGAACTGATGGCGGTAGATACATTTGTTTTGCAGAAACTGTATTTTGGGATGGATCAACCGCGTCAGACAATGATTCATTGCATATTGATGTTCAGTGTGAGTGACGCAATGTTATTCATTCGTATACACGCTCTAAGCATTACGCTTTTTTCTATGCAATTTGTGTGGCAACCATGTACAGCACAGTGATGTAGGTAACATGTATGACATGTATTACGAGTGCGATATTTTAATTTCCCCATTTTATTTCCTAATAGTTCCTGCTAATATTTCCCTTGTTGGTCCAAGTCATGTATATGAAGGAAACCACGTTGTTTTACTGTGCTCAACAACCGACGCTAACCCGCGTCCTTATGAAATGTATATAAACCACACAGATGACAATGGCAATGACAATGTCGTGGCGGAAGTTGAATATGATATACATGTACTTTATATCATTACATCAATTAGTGAAGAACACAGTGGAACTTATACATGTTATGCAGAATCGCGATTTTACGATGGTACTATTGGCGAAAGTACCAGTAATGAAATAACAGTAAACATACTTCAATGTAAGTAATGCATCAGTAATACTATTATATAACAAATTGAGCAATTTGTATTTTTGTGAATACGGTGTTTAGATAATTCAACAAATAAACGACAGTGTTTGCTATTTCAGATTCACCAGAAGATAATACAAATGGAGTGATATTTGCATTAATTATTGTAATTATCCTACTCTTTGCTGTTATTGTAATATCATGGGTATATATATTATATTTACGACGACATTTACAGGCCGAGGTGAATATGTTAAAGTTTATTAATGTTCATAATCACAATTATTTAATATTAATATCTTCATTCAGTATTGTTTTTTCTCATAATTTACTGAACATCTGATGGTTCAGTGTATACAGATAGATATTCTGTTTGTTTAATGTTTGAATTCAAATATCATACATAACTCCATTTTCAGAAGCCTTCGCATACCGCTGAATATGAAGATCTGCGCATGTCTGTGAATCCAGATCACGTATACTTGAAACATGGCGAGGTACCATGGGAAATTCAAAGGGAATCAATTCGTCTTGGGAAAACTATTGCAGAAGGATATTTTGGAAAAGTGATGAAAGCGACAGCAATTATAGGATCACAAAATCTACACTCAACTGTAGCTGTAAAAATGTTAAAGGGTAGATATTATGTACTGTAATGTATACAAGAATTATTTTTTTTCCTATGATATATACCACCAGATGTTGTACGAGATCAATTTGATCATATTTTTGTTAGAACCACATATACAAGTTTGGCCCAGTGTCTTTTGACAGAAATGACATCAGATTGCACAATTGTGATATATATTATCACTCAGTTTTACAGCAGAAAACGTGGTAGATTATTTTGGTAGACACAATAGTGTATGAGCAATGTTTTCATGTGTTTAGTGACTGTAAATATTTCTACTGCATTGCAGATGGGCTTACTGATGAGTACCACACGTCAATACTCAAGGAATTGGAGTTGCTTAAATCAATCACGTCACACACAAACGTAGTGACGTTGATTGGATGTTGCACACAAGACGGTATTCAATTTCACTTTTCATAACGTGGATCTCATTGCATTCGGTTTAGGTTGTGTTTTGAATAATTATCATATTTCGAGTATCCGCATGTTATGTGATTTTTTGCCACTTTGTTCGTACTTTTGTCGAAAACTATTGTCTTTCTAGGTCCCACGTTTTTTGTTCTTGAATATATGGCTCTTGGCGACCTGCAAACGTATCTTCGTAGAGAAAAAAATAATGAGGAAAATACATATACTAATCTAAGAGATCGTGTGACAAAGCTGTCTCAACACAATCGTATTGGTTTTTCACATCAAATATCTCTTGCTATGGAATTCATTGAAGGAAAAGGAGTAAGTTGAAATAGCATATCCGTTCACATTATATACTGTTAATTGCTGGCTATAATCACCACTTGTTACAATATATTGTATTTGTGATACATTTGCTCGTTACGTTATTGTTTTCAGTGTGTTCATCGAGACTTGGCTGCTCGCAATGTACTACTGAATGAGAAACTAGTATGCAAATTATCTGGATTTGGATTGGCAACTGACGTCCTGGATCAACGCGATTATGAGAAATGAAGTCAGGTTAGTATGATGACTACAATCTATAAAAATAAAGAATTATATTGATGACTCTTGCCAAAGCTTAATTGATGCAATGATAATAAATATATCTCTTTGATATTGTTTCAGGGACGTTTACCAGTTCGCTGGATGGCACCGGAGTCTATATTGGATGGCGTGTATACCAACAAGAGCGATGTATGGTCATATGGTATTGTTTTGTGGGAGATAGCAACACTAGGTAGACATATGTTATATAATATATTATATGACGAACAAAGTAGAATAATAGATTATCAAAAAACACGACACACAGTGGTTTAAGTGAAAATGTGAGCAAAATCACTATTATAAATTTTGTCGTAGTTATTATGGTAAAATACCCCTTGAATACATTCATATCTGTTTGGTTATACTGCTTGCTGTACGAGTATTACTTTACATTGTAATG